TTTTTTTTTTTTTTTTCTCTCTTTTGTGCATTACTCTCTGAACCAAAAAAAACTTTGAAACAGAAATTTGTTGTTGGATAAATTTTATTCTATGATGACGTTAAATAAGCGCTCATGAAATCATTAACTATTCTTTTTTTGCTTGATTTGTTTATTCATTTATTTTCTGAATAATTTTGACGTGTTGGTCTTGAAGATTATATACTCTTATTATATTCTTGGACTTTTTTGTTGTTAGTGATACTGTTGTTGTTAATTTTATATAACGCCTTTTTTGGTATTTTTTTTACCTCTAACATCCTTAATGAGCTGTTAAAATTTGCGCATTGAGATTACAGTGTTACTGTAGTATGGTTTTTTTCCATTAAAAATATTCCTTCTTTGTGTTCGGCAATAGTTTTATGAAACGATAACAGTATGATGAATATAAACCGTTGACTGCAATTTCTCGGATTAGTTCGGGCCTTTTTGGTCTTTTTTTTTTATCTGTGTTGATGCTTTAGCCTCGTAGCTTCACTGAATTTTAATTCAGAAAAGCTGATAAAGAGCTTTGTTTGTTGTGGTCCTTACAGTTGTTAAAGACATGGCGGCGGGTGTAGAGTGGGCGCCGACCGTTACCGGATACAGTGGCGCTATGGTTTGTGTTTTATCTGCTGTAACCTTAGGAGTTTTGATTTTTTTTTTTTCTTTTTGAAGGTTTTTTCGAGTAGAGTTACAAACATAATGGAGTTAATTGGCATTTCATAGCTGGGAGATTTCAGTATTTCCTTATACACGAAGTTTTTCAGGATGAATTCCATCCGTTTGTCGAGCAACTTCTTCCCTACGTGAAGGAATTCAGTTACGTTTGGTTTCATTTGCAAGCTGCAAAGCGGAAGTATACGAAAAGACATGAAAAACGTATGACCGTCGATGAAGAAAAAAGTGTTAAGGAAGACCTGATGGTTATTCTTTTCATATTTTTTGAGTTTTTGGTTATTTGTTTGTGGCTCTTAGTTCATTTGAGTTGTTATGAAATATCTAGACTTTAATAGATAATAACGGGTTTCAAATCAGTCTAGTAAGGCCATTTTAGAATGAACGAGTGGATGTAAAACAAAAGTGGGCCGGCCGACTACTGGGAAAATTACGGAAGGATATCCAACCGCAGTGTCGAGAAGATTTTGTCTTATCTGTTACAGGCCAAAGGCCCGCTATATGTGTCTTGTCAAATCCCGATCAGAAAGGCAAAATGAGACGCATTGATTGTCTTCGTCAAGCCGATAAAGTTTGGCGCTTGGATCTTGTTATGGTTATCTTATTCAAAGTGAGTAAGGCGCACTATTGTTACAAATCTTCTTTGTGTTTATACTCTCTGGCATAGTAATCCATTTGATAAACTTGTTTATTTCAAGGGAATTCCTCTGGAGAGTACTGATGGAGAACGCTTAGAAAAGTGCCCGGAATGCGTTTATCCGTCCTTGTGTGTTAATCCATATCACATAAGTATTGCAGTTCGTGAGTTAGATCTTTTTTTGGCCAACTTCATTCACACTTCCAACCCCGATGCGCAACATCAAGATGGTGATGAAGCCGGGAATGATTCTGGTACTTTTTTTTACTGCTTTCTTTTCGATTTTTGTCTGCCTTTTATGATTCCTTTTTTTTTTCTTTATTTATTACTTTCCAAGTTTAGGGGCAATAATACTTTGATGGAGACATTTTTAGGGTCTGATACTCTACCAGCTAATGAGGGTATTTGGGGAACAGGGGTCTTCACGGCGTACGAATTAAAGACTATAACTCGACGTAGGAGCTTTCTTTTGTTATTTTCTTTAAGGGGTTTGATTTGAGATAGGTTCTATTAAGGTATACATTTTAGCCTCTATCTTATCTGACACTGATGGCCAAATTCATTATGGTCGTGCTTATATTCCCCATAAAGAAGAACCCTATGTAGATGTTAGTTGGCAGTCGCCCGATGATTTGCACTGCGACTCGCCACCGCCACAAAGTCATGTCAGAATTGCTATTGCAAATTCGCACAGAAATATGGCTGGTACTTTATATTTTCTTTTTGAAATATTTTTTATTTGAAGGTATTTAAACTTACGTAAGTTGATAGTTGTGCATTGAAGACTCAATGCCATTGTTGTTAGTGTATCGAAATGATCTTACAGTTCTGTTTTACACTTTACCAGCCGTTATTAATTGCGACAGATCTCTTATTAATGCCGGAACTGCGTGGGAAACTGTTTTTCAGAACTAGATTCAATGGCTTCGTCTTCTGGTATGAAAATAATACATAATAACCCAGGACCAGCCGGCACTACAGGAGTAACTAAAGTTTATACCATTGCTCCACAAGTTGGAGCAATGGTAACTATACCTCCAAGTAGTTCGTCGCAAGGGAGAGATGCATTTGAACAGGGCCTTCAGGAAACAGAAGTTGTATGTAACTTTTTTTTCGCCTTGATTCACAAACAGTCGTTTACACAGTCATTATGTGATTTGTTTACTAAGCGGATTCGGGGCAAGGCTGGCATACTTGTTTTGCTCTATTCTTTTGGAAATCTTGCACCAAGATAGAAGCACATTTAAAGGGCACTTTTCTTAATTATGTGTTTTGGTGTTTTTGTGGATTAAAGTTTACTTCAACTTTTTAACAGGTACGACCATTTTTACATCACAATAAGTAATTGAGGAAGTTGTGAATAAACAAGTACGCTTCTTACTCCAGAAATGCGTTATTCTGGAACCTTCAAAAACAGCCGTTTCCAGTCAAGGAAGCGTAAAAACTTTATAAGGAGGATTTAATTCTGATTTGTTGTGAGCGTAGTTAGGGTTTAACGGATCGCAAAAAATGGTTTTCACTGATATCAGGGAACTGCAAGTCAGCAGTTCATAAAGTTTAATCATTTAACAATTACGTTTTAAGTAGTTGCTTTTGTCCTCCATTTAGGAAGGTGTCCACATCAAACCGAAACTAGTTACTGTTATACATGACGTAATTTGAATATAATCTGTAGTTTTTCAACAGGAAATAGTAGAGTTATGCGAGAAGAACGCGGGGTTTGACGTGGTTATTTTTCAAAACAGCAGGTTGCTGTTTCTTACGGTTTTTTTCTGTGCTCGTTTCTCAGTAATTAGAAACCACACAGTCCACTAATAGGTAGGTCGTAATGGGTGGTACCTTATCATTGAGTTTAATAAGAGGCGTTGTCGTTTAAAGCTTTAAGTTGAGACTTAGAAATTTTTACAACTTTTTGCTCTTTGGGATAAAGGTGTATGGAATATGAGGTGTTGTTTTTAACAACTATGAGGAACAGTATATTAAATTGCAAGTAGGTTGGCGTTTC